CCCAGTGCTTTAAATTGAGCCTGCTACTGATGGGCAGCCAGTGGAGAAACTGCAGAATAGGATTCATATGCATACTTCATCTAGCTTTCAATAATAGCCAAACTGCAGTATTCTGTACCAGCTGGAGTTTCCAAATTGATTCTGAGAGGAGACGAATATATAGTTCATTACAGTAGTCTTGTCTCAATGTCACCATGGCATAGATCCAGGTAGCCAGATCAGGTGTATCAAGGTAAGAAGCCCCTTTTCAAGATAAACTGAGTTGGAAGAAAGCCTTTTTTGCAACTGCATTAAATTGCTTCTCCAGCAATAATGCTGAGTCCAGTGTAACCCTGAGGCTCCTAACTAAGTCAGCAAGGATCAAATAAACCTCATCAAAATTTGTAAGCAAGACCTCCACTTCCCAAGCAGCATTACTTCTGTCTTTCCAGGATTAGTTTCAATTTATTTATACAAGCATTGTGAACATTTCATATCCTCTTCATTAAATTCTCATTAACAAATTTTCAAACGCTGAAAGTAAAAAAAATTAGCTCTCACCTTTAGTTAGGAGTATATATTGACTTACCAAACAAATTCTATTTGTGTCTTTACTTAAAAAATGTACCTGCAAATGCAATCTTCTACTATTGCCTTTAAAAATAAAATTCCTGTCATCATTAAAAAAATATCTCCAATCTTTGTATCTGTCTGGGCAGATTTGATTTAAGTCAGTAAGACTCAATTTAAATCATGGTTTTCTACCTAAAGGCTCATTCTTGCTGGCCTTAATATTTGCAACCCAGATGAACGTTTCATTTTAGTATAATAACTTTTCAGGTTAGTTTTAGTTATATCAGAAAATTAATGACTGGTTATTTACCACTTGTGAAATAGATAATTATGAAATCATTGCAAGGTGAACTATCTCCAATCTATTAGGTTGTTAATCATTCATATTTGAACAACTTTTCTGCTGTACTTTATTGGAAGGATAAAAATAATAATTAACAATAAACATTTAAATTGTTCTATTTAACTAAAACAATAACATTATATAGCATATGTATTCTTGTATTTGCTTAAACATCCATAAGGATACACTCACAAAGATCTCAAGATTTCTGGAGTATTCTGTTCAACAAGTTTCACTTTCATTTGTACTGCTTGCCCCTTCCTCCTTACACTTAGCTCTTAATATCCCCTCCTTATCCAACGTATTCCATCCCAAACAACCTTATACTCGTTGAACTTATTGAAATTTAGCACTTAAGAGGTAAGGGGTTGATTCTGTGTACATATATTTGCAGAGGACCAATAGGACTGAGATCTCTAAACTCTGTATGTTTATTTTATAACATTTATGCTTTGAAGAAGAGGCATGTGATCTCTGCAGAAACAAATCCACAGTTTTGAGAACTATAAAACCAAACGGATTAATGGAATTCATTTACCAAAAAATTTAAACATCGCATGAATATACAGCCACATTTTCTTAAATAGAAAATTATCTTTAGATTTTCCCTCAAAACTCCAATTTAAATAAAAAATCCAATTTAAAATTTTAAAAATCCGATTTATTTTTTTAGAAAAATAATAATTGATTTTTATCCACCCTGGTATATGCTGATCCTTTCACATTTTTTATTAGGTACTTCAAGCAAGTGTCAGATCTCCACAACACCTTATTTTCAAAATTCCTACTTCGGAATTCACTTTGTATTTTCTCAACTTGAAATCCCATCACAAAAAATATTACTTACGGTTGTGGGGTATGGAGGCCCATCTTAGTATCCTGCACTCTGAGAGGCTGGATTGATTGTCGGCCACTCATAAGGCTGGAACTCAAACTGCGGCTCATTATCGTAGGGTGAACTGCAAGGCAATTTGATGCTACTTTCAAACACTCGTTTTACACACACTGAATTCTGAGGAGGGCCTATATTATCACCAATTATTAGGAGGGGGGGGGGAGAAAGACAGAGAAAGACAGACAGACAGAGAAAGATGGGGGACCAACAGACAAAGAAGCAGAGAAAGACAGAGGGGGAAGAGAGACAGAGGGCAAGGTGAGAGAGAGGAACAGAGAGAAAGAGAAATTCAGAGGAGGGAGAGAGAGAGAGACGGGGAGAAAGACAGATTGAGAGAGTTAATGGTCACAGTACTGTTACACCAACTGCTTTATTTACAGCAAAGGCTAACTAAATTTAACATGAGTCCTGGCCAGCTTTTACGGAGGTTGTGTCTACCCACAGAGTCTTAGTGATAGAGACAAGATGGGTGTTTTTCCAAAAAAAATTGTCTTTTTACTGAGCAATATTAACGTCACATAACAGCACATACACACAAGATAGTCAGTCTCACTTTCACATGCACTCAAGTTCCTTTAGAATTACAGAAAGATATCAAAAATAGTTTCTCATTTACTTGGAGGTAGGTAGGTATTTCGGTTTATACTCGCCTGTTCGAGAAGTCTTATCTGTTGCAATGGAAGAATAGGGAGAAAGTAATACCTAGGGGTTTAAACTAACTCACCCTTGCTAGAAACAGCCAGCAAGCATAAACCTCTTTGGCTGCAGTCCAAGAGATCTTAATGTAGACAAAGGGATTGTTGGATAGAAAGCTGGACCTTAGGGGTAGTAAAGAAGATAGAGGTCGTGGAGAAGGGAGGTGGCTAGCAAAGACCTAGGGCAGTGATGGCGAACCTTTTAGAGACCGAGTGCCCAAACTGCAACCCAAAACCCACCCAAAGCAAACCTCTGCCCCCTGCACCCAAGCCACCCATGGCCTGGGTGCCTTCACCCACCCCACCTAAAACAAGCCCCTGCCCCCCAAACCCCCAGCAACTTACGCTTTTGCTGGCAGCGGTACGGCAAGCAGGGGCTTAGGCCCCGGTTGCCCAACGAATCAGCAAAAAAAAAGTTTTAAAAAAGTAAAAAAAACCCTTTCGCTTTCAAAGCAGGGAGGAACTCTGCGCTGAGGCGATGCTGTGCGTACCCACAGAGAGGAATCCAAGTGCCCACTCTGGCACGCGTGCCATAGGTTCGCCACCACAGACCTAGGGTTTGGCCTTTACTTTTATAGTTGAATCTACAGGTGGGTGGCACCTTGCCAAACTGTAATCCCACCTACTTACAAGTCCATCCCATAACTTCCCTCATTGGTGCATGTAGAAAGGGGGCAGGTATTCTATGGGTTGGGCAAATATTTGAAATTCTACACTATCTCATGGAACACCATCTGGCCAGGTGTGAAGTCTCAGATTCCTGTGTCCTCTTTGAAGTACAGATGAATCTTGGCTTCACCAGGCGAACAAGGTACCATCAGCAGAAAACAGTGATTCAAATGCAGATCAGGTCCATGTTCTGCGTGACATCTAGTCTTTTCAGTAATGGGGGAATTTCTTCTTCTTGGTTGTTGCCTCTGCCCACAACGGCTAACATGTGCTTCTTCTTCCCATGAGCCTTTGAGCTGATTGTGTGCAAGCTACCTTAACATGATATGCAGGCAAGTGTTCCCTATGTGAATTCTCTCACAGTAGGTGATGCAAACAGCTTCCTTTGGCCTATGGTATACAGATGTGTGCACAGTCCATGTGTTGCTTGTGTAAACAGATATAAAACCATAAATTAGTCCATTTCTCAACAGCACTTGGCTTACATATTTGTTAGAGCTAACATAAAATGTCACAGACTACTTGTTGCATGTCACCACCTTAGAGCCCCACTGTTCACATTTTTTCACTTTTGTATCTAAACTTATACCACAATCAAGCGACTAGTCTTTTTAGCTTGTCTTTAGACAAAATCACTAGATGCCCCACTTACACCCCCATCAGAATCCTAGGGATGCCAACTTCGGGTCGAGAACTTTTTGGAGACTTGGGGGAGGGGGTGAAGCCTGGGGAGGGCAGGGTTTGGGGAGGGACTTCAACGGGATATAGTGCCAGAGAGTCTACCCTCTAAGCCTCCATCTCCCCCCCCCCCAAGAGAACTGGAGATCAGTTACAGTTCTGGGCAGTGTTCCCTCTAAGCCGAGTTGGTGTGAGCTAGCTCACAGTTTTTTAGCCTCCAGCTCACGCATTTTTGTCTTAGCTCAGGAAGGAGGACTCCAGAGCAAACTGATTTATGCAGAAACCAAACCGCTTGCTCACAACTTTAATGCCAGTAGCTCACAAAGCAGAATTTTTGCTCACAAGACTCCACAACTCCTTTATGTATATTTTTATTGTTATATTCGTCTTATTGTTTTAATCCTACCAATAAAATGTTAATGAGGAAAAAAAAAAAAGACTCCACAACTTAGAGGGAACATTGGTTCTGGGAGGTCTCGCCTCATCTGGCGTTGTCTATCATGATCCCTATTCCCGCATTACAGTTCCTGACTAGAGAAGCTATCGGCGGGCAATGAAACCACCTCACGCACCGAAAAAGAAGGCGGCGACAAAGCCAGAGCCCGAGGGAAAACCGGAGCGGCCCAACAGGCATCAGTGGGGTCTTCGAAAAGGTAACTGAGCCACCATTCATTCAAGCTTAGTTGGCCCCCGCAGGAGAATGTGGTGGAATGGATGGCGGATCCCCCCACAAACAGAAACGAAGCAAAACAAAAACCCTGTGAGGTTGGCACCCAGCCCCGCCCCGCCCCGGAGTGCCGCTGTCCATTTCTACCGCCTCATTTCATTTTTCTGTATACGTGAATCAGGAGTCAGAGAACCGCGCGTCGAGCTAACGCAAAAGCCTCTGACTGACCTTCGTCCCAATAGCCACAGTACAACGCCTCTGAGGCCGTCCAAAAGTGAGAGGGGTTCCGCCGCTGCTCGCCTCACTCTGTCGCTTACCGCTTTCTATGGTTTTCAAAAGTGCCCGCCAACCAAAACCGTCAACAAAGGCGTTCCCTCTACTGTGGAAGGGAGTGGAAGAAACCGAAGTCACGGCGGGGGCGTCACTTCCCATCTATACCGGAAGTTAGTTTCCATTGGCCGGGGCTGTGGGCTTGACAGAGACTGATTCGCGGCTATTGCCCGCGTTCACGATCTGTTCGGATCTACAACAGTGTGAAGTTGAACACGCATGGATTTTGACTACGGTTGTTGATTTCCACGAGGGGGCTGAGCGCATGTGAATAACGCTTCTTCGTTTTCATACTGCTGGTTTATGGAAGGTAGGGTCCCCCTGATGTCGCCTGATGTCCCCCAAAAACACACAACTGATGAAAATGTCCTCTTTTTGGGTTTGGAGGGTGAGCCTGTTTTGCCCTATAGTACCCTAGTGGAGGCAAGCTTCAGCTTAAATAGTAGGGATATTTAAAATGAGATTTGTCATAGTGATCAGTTGTTTGGAGGAGTCAGTCGGGAAATCTGTCCTCTTTTGCTTTTCAAAATATGGTAACCCTGTGGAAGATGAGTCTAAACTAGGGATCGAGCCAGGCTTTATACTGTAGCAGCTCTGCAGATGGTGGGAAAGTATGTCTGTGTTAGATTGATGCGAAGAGCTCTGTTGGAGCCCACAGCTCACTCATTTAAATAAACACTTCAAAGCCCTGTCTGGGGTGTAAGCTCCAAGTAAGTGTGCAAGTAATGGAGGTACACCAGTCGTAAGATGTAGGCCTGGAAGTTATGAGTTCGAATGTCACCTCAGTCACAAACTCTCTACATGTTCTTGTACAGTAGCCCCACTTCTGTAGTATAGGACTGCAGAATTGTTTTACAGAATTGTTGTTAAGGGTTACCTTAATGCCAGGGCCTATCTTTCTTAGCTTCTAAGATCAGGCTAGCCTGGGCCATCTGGGTCATGGTTAATGGGTCATTATCATACAGAAATGATAATCTGCAGTCCAGTACTAAGCAACTTACTCAGAGTCTGAGAGAAAAGCAGAGTATAAATATAGTAAAATAAATCTAGTCCTGCATCTTTCAATAGTATTGGTTTCAGACCTACTCTACTGCATTTATAGGTGAGGTATTACATTTTGAAAGTCCCCCCCCCCCAAAAAAAAAACCAGTTCCCTGTAAGTGGAAAATTAGCACAATATGCAAAGGGCTAGAATAAGGCTTCTCTTTTCTGTGTGCTGCTGGGTTTTGTTTTGTTAAATTTGTGTCATTTTCTGCACGGGGGATTTGATTTGTTTGATTTATATCCTGCCCGCATTCATAACTTGACCTTCTTCCCTGAAGCCTTGAAGTGGCACAGCTCGTTGTTCCATCTCATTCTACTGCATGTGTAGACCGGGCCTTGCTGTATTTATGACTGGAGCGCAAAAGACTTAAGACTGGCAGGATGTTTCCATGGCAATGAGCAGGCCCAAGATTCTCACACTCCACCTTTTATCCTTTCTTCTGTGAGTATATTGCATGGTTAATGAGGTGTTCCTTTCAAGTAAACATAGCTTTTCCTGGTTTGCTGATTACTATTGGTGATCCCTGGCCCAGAGAGTATTTGGCTGTCCTCAACCAGAGCCAAGGCTTTTTAGGCCCTGGCTGTGGCCTGGTGGAACTCTGTGTCAAGTGAGACTCAGGCCCTGCGGGGTTCAATGCAGTTTCACAGGGCTTGTAAGACGGAGATGTTCCCCCAGGCCTATGATTGAGGACAATGGTGGTTTCTATCTGGGCTTTCTTCCCTCCCTTCCCCCCGTTCCTCGCCTCCTTTTCCTTTGTTTGCTATCCTCTATTTACCTAACTGTACGATATCTGTTTCCCCTTAGAGAAGGGACACTATGTTGTGCTTCCCTTTTATGTGCCATCTTATTGGTGCCAGTATTATTGTAAAAGTTGTCTTAATAGTTTTAATTTATGGATACTGTTGTTACCCACTCTGAGCCCTGTTGTAGGAGGGTGGGCTATAAATCTAATAAATAAAGAAATTGTGATTAAAAGAACGAGGGGAGGAGTGTGTGAGCTAGAGATCCCCTTTCATCCTCATCTTATGGTGACTTAGGTCCAAACTAAACGTTACATATGATATGACTCTTCTTTTTACAGCCAGATGTGATGCTGGGGAACTAACATTCCCACTCACACTGGGGCCCAATTTGCCTCAGGGTAAAAAGCACAGGAGGGACGGCTGAAGTTTCACACATACTGTCATGACCCCCCGCCAACCAGCTCAGTGAGTCAGACTCAGAGTCCTCAGGGGAAGAGCCCAAGGAGGCCACCAGCCGAGGAGGACCAGGGAGAGCCCAATATGGCTGAGGTACCTGCTGACCATGGTCCAGCAGCATCCAGAAGCCATCTTGCCTGAGTCTACAATGGGGGCCTTGCCACCGGCCCCTGAAATAGTCACCAGGGCTCTTTGAGGCAGGACTAGGGCCCACAGTCTCCTGCGGAGCACTCTCCCTCTGCAGGAATGATGATGGCAGAAGGCCCAGGCCAAAGTGTCGCAAAGGAGGCGAACTGCTTGACTGGCTGCACAGAATCCCATCCCAGAGCCCGGGAATGAGAGCAATAATTCTTTGCAAGATCCTGGTCAAAGCACAGTGCAGCTACAGGAGTTTAACACCTGCCAGCAGGGCAGCTGTGCCTAATTACTTCTCAGTCTGTTTAAGCCAAGGCTTGGGAAAGCTGCACTGGTGGACCAACTGGTCAACTAGGCATATTCCTCTGTACCAGTTCCAGTGCCTTGTTCTCCAGCTCCTGGCCGCTAGCACCTGTCAATGCTCCCAGCCTCACTGTCTAGAGCTGAGGGCACTGCTTCAGACGAGACCTGACTAGGTGGGCCTGCAGTGCACAGGACACACACACACCTGTGGTGCACTCCCAAACCAAATCAGGCCCCAGCATGCTTGGGAACATTAGTTCCCAAATTTCACATCTGGCTGTAAAAAGAACAGAGTTGAATCAAATGTGGTATCTAGTCTGGACTTGGTGTGGCCTCACAATTCCAGTAACCAAATGTCTGAATATTCCCTTGGATAACAGAGGTTCAGATAGTGACATTCTTGTAAAAGATGTCAGTGTTGTAATAACACTTCTGTAGCAGAAATACGCTAAGGATATTCAAATGTGTTCTTTGGTCAGATGTGACCAGATTATTGACACCACTGAGCTATAACAATGATAAGAAGTTAAAAACAAAAAGTTGAATAATTAAGAATCATATTGTTGCCAACGCCCCAAGGGGGCTAAGGTTCTTTGACTTGTGTGGCTAGCTGATAAAGTAGACAGTAAAACAATCATCCAGGCAGTAAAGGTTAACAAAAGAATGTATTCGAATAAGGAACATCTCACAGCAAAGTTCAGTGTGGCTGTTCAATGAGCAAATACAGAAAGCAGACTTATATACTCTTCTTGCTCCTCCTTACTTTATATCATCACTGACATCACTTAGACATGCTCAGTTCAGTTTCCTTTGTCTGGCCAGTCATCAATCACATATTTGACACGCAGGATGTTACTTGGCTGTGTCTTAACTCCCACAATGCAGGTGCAGTGCTCATTATATTTGATTGATCTTTTGTTTACTTCTTTTGGTCATACTCCCAGACTCCTTTCACCTTTGAATGAACTTTCAGGCTGAGTTCATTTTCAGTATGAAACTCTGTCAGTTCTGTTACAAAATTAGTTTTTTTATATATTTATACAGGTATATATGTTACAAAAATACCTTTGCTGGAATTTTGTGATCTATCTCTATTGAAGAATACATGGATACATTGAATTTCTGGAAAAATACAGTATTATAGCACTGTTTTCACAAACTCTTATATGTAGACTTTTCTAATACTATAAAGTAGCCTATGTTATAAAGCTCTTGTAGGTGTGCTGAATCTATGTATCAGTTTTTATTTTAGTCCATCAGAATATTTTTACAAAATATTAAAACATCTAAACTTCCTTATTTCATCAAGATATGTGATTCCACTTTAACCGACAGGTGTCACCCTTTTATAATACAAATTCTGTATTTCTAATTGACCCTTTTAGTGTCTTATGATTTAAGATCCACCTGAACCTCTTAATTAACAGATGTGCATGATTCATCTCTGTGACATCATCTGCTTGTTAGTAGCTTGGTACTCTTCAAAAACCTCAAAGCACTCAATTTGGAACATCTCCCAACCTTCCTCGTTAGTTCTTTTAACAGCTTTAAACACAGTTCCTCAAAACATAACTACTTTTCTCTTCTTCAATAAACATACAGAAAGATTTTATCTATAAGCTTAATAACTTTCTATAGCATAGCTTAAAATTAATAAAGGATAGTTGCTTTTACAAATATCTTATACCTCTTCAGCCTTAAACATAACATAACATTCTAAAAACACACCATCAGATCAAGAGAAGAGATTTCTCTCAGTTACAGTATATAGTCATCCTTTTGTTTATCCCAATTAGGCTCTCCTCTTTGAAGTAAAGGATGGAACAATAAATCTCAACATTGGCAGTGGTGCAAGCTTTCCCAATTAGAATTACTGGCATTACACCTATTCAATTTGTTCTATTATTCCAGTTAAAAATGAAACCAGAGTCTTTTCTTCTTTATGTTGCAACATCCCAAACTTAAAGAGTAAACATAGTCTGGGCTTCCCTTATTGCTGAAACTCACAAACCACTTCAATAAACATCTTAGTAAAAGCACCCTAAAACTGAAGCTTGTTTTCCATAGAGAATGCAACTGTATTCAACCCAATTAATTTCTACATACCAATTATTTGCTAGGTCCTTTGAAGCAAAAGGATTCCATAATAAATCTTGCCCATGATAGGTTCTAATGAAAAGTTGGCTAAGTTAAGAGAAACACCTGCACCTAACTCCCAATTAAAAAGGTTGACTCAGAGTTGGAAAAGCGAACTCTCCTTGTCAGTTAAAAATGATTTAAAACCATTGGCATTGTTTAGCTGTTTAGTGGCTTACAGGTTGCTAATTCTCCACTGGGAATCCCAAAGACTTTCCCGCCAAAGATTCCTGTAAAACAGCAATAATCAATAGAAAATCATTTGAACCCTTGGCACTTCCTACAATATGCTGTGCAGCAGATATTAGTCTCAACTTGACCTCTCCAGTGACCATCAGGCAGGGGTCCCCCACTTTTTGAGCTTGTGGGCACCTTTGGTGAGCACAGCCACAAAATTGCTGTCATAGGAGGGGCAGTCAGCCACAAAATGGCTGCTGCAGCTTACCTTCAGTTGCACAGTGAAAATCCTTGTGCTATGGTGGCAGCTGCTGCTAAAGCAATGTTTTTAAAATCTGCACAGCAGCCGATCAAAAGCCTTGCTGGGCAGAAGCCCCCCGTACTTTCTAAGTACACTTGGCAGGCATCACATTGGCTACCCCTGCCACAGAGTATTAGTGCTTTGGAATAATGGTTTGTTCCTGCTGTTTTCAGGGAGATACTGATTTTTAATCTGTCATTAGGTTCCGTCTGAAGAATAATGCCTTGAAAAACAGACAATGGCTATTGTACATTGTCAGCCAGCAGGATGGCTACTGGATCATCTCTTCTTCATAAACCAATCTGGCTACCAGTTGTGCCGTGCCCATGAAGATCTTGTGGGAGCCTTTTCTGATGTGCCTTCTGCTGCTGCTTCCTCAGATAAGGATCCTATTGTGGCTGCTACCTCAGTTACTTCAACCTCTTGCAGAAAAGGGTCTGTTTCTGAGCCTGGAGCTGCAGAGAAGAAATCACGTGAAATGCTGAAGAAGACACACTTGTTCAGGGAAGAATTTTTTAATGTGTTTAAGCCCCACATAGCTGCAGACTTTCAAAAGGAACTTCAGCAGGGGAGCTCTGAGGCTGGTCTAGAAGAAAAAGGATCAGAACAGCAGGAAGGGGCCAAGAGTGGCGAGTCTCATTCTGAAGCTGCTAAAAAGGTACACTAGAGAGAGAGGGGGGGGAGAGGGAGAGGGAGATGTTTCTGCCGGGTACCCTTTCAATACCCCTGTGTTCAGAATTGTTGAAGAAAGGGAAACTAATCTCCCAGAAACATGAAATACGTTCTTACAAATTACTTATGGAACTCATTGGCTTTTATATGCAACCATAGTTTACCTATGCTTTTAGCCCTCTACAGATATGTTAATAGCAATTATACTGCACTGTTATACTTTCACATTATGTATCCCATTATGTGGGTGGAATCAAATAAGTAAAATCTTAGTACTGGAACAGAACACAGAAAGCATTTTCTACCAGTGTGTCTGGAGATGCTGCTGGACTCAGGAGGACCAGACCCTCTACTGCTGCCATGGGAGATGCAGCTCTCGTCAGCCCCACCGCCAGTTGACAGAGAGCCTGGCAGCCTCCCAGGTGAATTGCTCCTCACCTTGCCCCCCAACTCCAGGCACAGGTAGAGGAACCAGCTGGGGCCCAAAATCAGGGTGGCCCCAAGAAGATGGCAGCCTCTGTAAGCCTCAGCAGAAGCCAAGGTGGGGCTGGTACAACCTACACCAAGGCAAACTAGGACAGAAGCCAGGGAAGGGCCAGAGAAGCCTGTGCCAGAGCAAGTACGCCCAATAGCCTGAGTGGGCAAAGGAAAAGCAGGGGTGGGGACTGATGGCTGACAGCCCTCTCACACAACCCCAGAATAATCAGTAGAGCAGGAGGGAATGCATTAAATATTTACAGTTGTCTGTTCTGAGCTTATGTTTATTGAGTGACCCTGTGTTACAGTGTTATGAGATAGTGGGAAAAAATTTTAACCCGCCTTTTCCTTATTGGTACTTTTTTCCCCTTAAGGGTGTGGCCCCTCTTTTCCCAAGAGTACGAGCTTCCCTGAGAATTTAAAATCAGGATCTTTTACATCCAAGGCTACAATCATGGCTGTAGTCTAGACCAACAAGCTTGTCCTATTAATTCTGCTTATGTGGTTTAGACTGAAGTGGCTTTGGCCATGCCACAGAATAGTAACCACTATAACAGTATGCAATAAGATAGGTCCAGGCAATCCTGGTACCAGGAGAAGCAATGTCAGTTGCATTCCTTCTTTGAGTTATTACCAGAGCAGGGGATCCAGAGATGTGAAAGCATTTCTCATACTATTAAAATAACATGAATCAGTCTTTGGTTGTCACTTTTTGTATTAACTCTTCAAACAATTTCTTCAAAAGCAAATTGTATCTTATAAAGGATCATGGCATTTGTCGTATCATTTGTTAATATTTTTAAGTGGTCGCATTACTGACATCTATGCATTTTGTTTACTGTAGAAACGAAAAAGAAGAAGCAGTGTGTTAAATTACGGTGAACGTGATGCATTAGAATATCATTTAAAGGTCAGTCTGAAAAACTTGGTGGTCAAATTGTTCATCTGCTGCGGGACTTCAGATGTACTCCTCAGTTGTTAGTTTAGAATTTATGTTTGCAAGTTTTTCTTGCCCCAAAGTTCATTATGCAAAAAGATACTTCTCAGGTAAAAGGCTGAATTTCAAAAATATTTTTTCCTGGCTATCACTTAAAAAAAAAAAAAGCTGCTGGTCTCTGAAAAAACTCTGGTTCCGTATCTCCTTTACATCTCAGTGCAGAAATTAGACTGGCATGTTTGTATTTTAGTTGCAAGACACTTACCATGCCATCCTAAACACAGTTGCAGTCTTCTAAGTCCATTGAGGTCAATGGTTTTAGAAGAGTGTGACTCCATTTAAGATGGCATTATCATTTGTCTTAATGCCAAGTTTTATTTTAGTGGATTTGTCAGTCATTTTGTGTGCTTACATCAAAAGGGGACAGTAATTTAATTTCTGGAGCAATTACAAAGAAAGAGGAGGGGACAGAAAAAGATGTTCCTGTGTATGATTAAGAAGCCAAAGTTTTGCATCTCCCCACCCTTGACAGTTTGGCCAACTTGTCTTCTAGTTGGGCTGTTTGAACTGTCTTGGCGCTGCTCAGGCCTCAAGGCCCTGCTCTGATGGCCGTGTGTGTGTGTGTGTGTAAACTATTTTCAAAATCATCTTCTAACAGTAATTAGCTGTGCCGCTTGATACAGATGCACATACTTGGCTAACTAATTGTAATTTCAAACATCATACAGAATTATCTATATTCATGTATTTTCTAAAAATATATACAAACTATGTTAATTCATTCTTGCTACTCTATCATGAGAAAGAATATAAAAAATAGAGATTACGCACTTCTCATAGATATGACTGTCTATTGGACTCCAACAAATACACTCATCTTGGAACTATATCATCACTTCTACAGTTAGTTGGATGTTTTTGCCATTCTCACACACTGCTCAAACCTGTGTCCAGGCATATATTGTATGTATTGATATCAATTATATTACTCTAATCTGCTGTTCATCATCAATCTTCTGTGCAGTCCCATATGGATAGGTCCTTACAGCTAAATGCCTCCAGAGGGGGCTTGTGGGCCAAAAAAGGCTGAGCCATCTAGACCAGGGGTGTCAAACATGTGACCCGTGGGCCGGATCAGGTCCCCAGAGGGCCCCAATCAGGCCCGCAAGGCCCTGGCTGTTTCCTACTTCCATTTGCAGTTCTGCTGCTGCTGCCATGTTACCGCTTGCTTTACCAGTCTCAGTCGCACAGGAGAGATCAATAGGCAAGGCTCACCTGTGCAATTGAGAGAGTCTGGTAAAGAACTGGCTGAGGCTCCTCCCTCTCCTCCTTCCAGGGGGAGGGAGGGAACAGCCAGAGCTAACTTCCTGGCCAGGCTGCAGGAGACAAAGGGCAGCCTTTCTTTCCTCCCACTGGCTGAGGCTCCTCCCTGAAGACAGGGAGGGAATGAGGGAGAGTTTGTTTTACTGGGCTGCCTCAATCACACGGGAGAAATAGCAAGCACCTTTAAGACTAACAAAGTTTTGTTCAAGGTATGAGCTTTTGTGTTCCTTGCTACAGTGCGTGTGTGTGTTTTGTTAGGCTGTTTATGCCAGGGCTCTCCTGGGTACAACTGGGTTCCCTCCCCCTTTTCACTGTATTCATGCCCTCATCATCCAGTCTTTCTCAGTGAGAAAGCAATGTGAACTATTTTAGAGGAGGAATCACAAGCCAGTGAGGTGGATTAGCCTGTGAGTGTTCACCCCCTTTGTAGGAAGTTGTAGTTATTTCTCTGGGGAAGAGTATAATTTTGTTGACAAACACGTGGCCCTCAGTCTGTGTTAGGATGCCTTCTTATGTTCTTGACTAGCACATGAAGCCACTTATGTACAAAAGGTTGCAATGCACAGCCCTTTCATGTTTTCCCCTGGGTCCTAGCCCAGCAAGGTCACATTTATGTCAGATCCGGCCCAGATAACAAATGAGTTCGTCACCCCTGATCTAGACCAAAAAATCTTAGTTGCAACAAAGTATATTTGGGTACATGAACAGTTACTACTTTCCCTATGAAAACATAACAGCTGGCAATTACTTTGTCTCTAGCACTAATCAGAACCAATGCACCCTCTAAGCTGTGGAGTCTTGTGAGCAAAAATTCTACTTTGTGAGCTACTGGCATTAAAGTTGTGAGCAAGCGATTTGACTACTGCATAAATCAGTTTGCTCTGGAGCCATCCTTCCTGAGCCAAGACAAAAATGTGTGAGTTGGAGGCTAAAAAACTGTGAGCTAGCTCACACTAACTCAGCTTAGAGGGAACACTGCCCAGAACATATGTATCCCTTGTAAGGCAGCAAAAAGAGAATGCTAGAGACAGATCAAACCAGCTGTGAACTCATTTCCCCTCCCATTATCCGTCTGCACACCTCTCTTCTGACCTCTTGTTTTCAACATATGAATGTTTTAGAAGGGCATTTTCATGCTTTGATTTTAAAATATCAAGAGAGTCTTATTCACAATTCATTTACTATATTAAAGCCTTTCTTGTTGAGACTCAATGTAGAAAAATGGCACGGGACAAGAGTAGGATTACAAAATTAGAAACAATACAAAAAAAGTATCAGAAATGACATATCATAACCAATATAGTAAGATATGCGTGCAATATACAGTGGAATAGACTGTTCCCTTTATAAAAGCACCCTCCTGAACCATTCCATTATACTACAGCCTTTATTCGTTTTGTAAAAATGCCCTTCTGAACAACTTTGTTTTACACATTTTTGCAGAATAATAGAAGGCAGGTTTTCCTGACATCCTCAGACAAACCGTTCCACAAGGGGGAGCCACAACAGGGAATGTGCATGTATGGGCAGCTTTCAGTCTTACACATTTGTAGGGTGGCACCTTCAGTTGAGCAAAACCGTCACAAAGGAGCATAGCAGGAGAGCCTGTCCTGCAGATATGAGGGTCCAAAACCGTGAAGGGCTTTGTGAGTGAGAACTAGTACCTTGAATTGAATCCAGAAGCTGCTATGTCATTGTTGGGAGAGGCTGCAGAATGGGAGTAACATGCATACTCTGCCTAGCTTCTGATTTTGGCTAGAATTTTAATTTTTCCTTTGTATCTTTTGGTATTGTACAGATAAGGAAGGTGATTTCAGAGGGTACCAGAAGTTTAGTCCAGGAGGGGCTCAAAAGTGGCTTTCTCCAGGCCAGTTCTACAAAACCAATCTATTCCAGGACTCTTGATACGAGACACAGTGATTTCAGCTTGGCTGAATTATGTGAGATGGCAAAACAGTATGTGTTTGTGAATGAAACAGAACAAAGAGCTGTATGCAAGATAAATGAAGATGCCTCTGTGCCAGAACAGATTCAGCTTTCCTGTGTTACAGAAAACGTCTCAAATGATACAAAGTTAATAACATTAATGGGACATAAATATTTATTTCCACCCAAAAGCAGTTTTCTTTTATCTGATATTTCTTGTATGCAGCCACTTTTGAATTGTAAGTACATTTCCTACTAAAAGTATGTTTTTCTGTGATCCATCAATATCGATGGACTTTTAGCATCAGTGTTTGGTTTGTTATTAACTAATTTTTATATTGACTCCTATGAGTGGGTTCTTGTTCTTCTCCAAGCATATACACTCTTCACTATGTTTCCTGTTACATCTTTGAAAAATATACTAATGTTAGATTAATACATGAGAACACGGTTAGTTCACTAATAATTGAGAAGGGTTTGATGATACCTTTGAAACTGGCATCTGGCCTGTTTGTTTGGATGAATATGAAACAGAGCCAAAAGTTTCAAAAGTATATATTTTATCTTTATGTTTGGGTAAAGTTGTCAACGTGAACTTACTAGAGCAGCAAAAATAAATCTTTAATTGTTGCTTTTAAAAGGAGGAATAATACTATGTGTCAGGGTGTCTGAAAGCATGAAAGTCAGATGTTTACATTTCAAGAGCCAGTTGTATGTCTTATTTGAAAAAACAAACGGTTTTTTTTCTTAACTTTTTAGATAATAAAAAATTTGATGTAATTGTGATAGATCCACCATGGGAGAACAAGTCTGTTAAAAGAAGTAATCGGTATGTTTACACATTTTAAAACTTATGTTTTCATTTTAAATACTGCCTCCTCTCTCCCCTCTTCTTTATTAATGCTATAGCTTTGTCTTAGTTTCATGGAGGTTGACAGCTAGTGGTTGCACCAGTGCAGTGAAGAGTTGTAGCTGTATATACCAGTGTATTTGCACCAATCACAGAGTCTGTTGCACAGGCTTTGGGACGACTGTCAGGCATCTTGGTGTTGTTTTCCCCTCCATGTTTCTTTTCTGATTGGAATTCTAAATGCTCCGATGATGAGCATTCTGTTAGGCACAACTGATGCATTAAAATGCATTGCCACAATTTTGTGTTGGCAAAACTTCACTTGCATAGAATTGCTTTCAGATTTCATATTAAAATTTTATAATGCAGTGGGGAATCTGGTCTTACAGCTTTCCAAGGCAAAGTATTATAGGTACAGTGGGACTTGGGGAGGGGTAGATGTGGGAGACTGCAGCATGCTTTTTAAGCAGTGGGCTGTGTTGAGGCTGGTTATGGCACTGAAATAAATGGCCACTTCATAAATCAGAATATTAATTTATGGACAGTCTGATTCTCAAAGTGCTCTGCTGCTTCAGGGTTAATCAAACTAAAAAGAGGTCTGTGCCTGTGGAGAGCATTGATAATTTAAAGCTGCTCAGGTAGGCTCCTAATTAATTTTCATTTAAAAGATGTCAGGCAGGAAAAGCTAGTCCCTGAGTAAGGCGTGTACAGGGCTATTTTTGGGCAAGAACGCACAGGAACACAGTTCCGGCTGGCTCCCAAGTTGGCCACACCCAGCAGGAACTCATTAACATAACAGGCCACACCCAACAGCAGAAACTCATTAGGATTGGCTACACTGGGGTATCTGGCCTAACATGCAAAGGGTTCCTGCTACAAACAAAGTTTTGGGTTTTGACAACAAGGTAAACAAAATAAGAAGCAAAAGGTGGGTGTGGCTGGATGACCACACTTCTGGCAACATGGGGGGTGGCCTAATATGTTAATATGATGTGCTATCGGGGGTGTGGCCTAATATGCTAATAGGTTTCTGCTGTTGGGTGTGGCCTATTATGCTAATGAGTTCCTGCTGGGCTTTTTCTTCAAAAAAAGCCCTGGGCGTGTACATTCCTTTCCAGTAAGGGATGTGTTGAAACAAGTTGAAGCAGCCTCACTCCAACATCTAGTGATGAGTGTCGGTTGCATCCACAGAAGAGGGAGAAGGGGGCTCTTTTACTTATTTCTCCCTCATTGTGGTGGCTCCCCATTCCATGGTGTGTTTTGTTAACAAGACTTTCTTTATTTCTTCTTTTGCACCTATTTCCAGTTTCTCTGATAGTAATGCTACTATCTCTTCTTTTAGATCATTTCCTTTTCTTTCCGGTATATTTTGGCATCGTACTATCATGGACGCCTTCTCGATTTCCAACGTTATTAAAGATTGTTCTAATCTTTCAACATCTGCTTTATGTTCTAAAAATTCCTCTTTTAATTCCTTGTTTCCTTTTTCCAGTTTCCTTATACTTTTAGTATTTTTGTCAATTTCTTGCTTGTAACTATCTAGTTTACTTTTTACTCCTTCTGTCTCTTTAAATATTGCATCCATTTTTGCTTGCATTGGTTTCAGTTCAGCTTTCATCACCATTGGCAACATTTGCTCCATTGTTTCCTTCACAGCAGTAGTTACTGCTTACTTAACCGAGATTTGTACTGTCTCTTATACCATGTTTTGAATCCAATCTTTTAGATCTGTTTTGAGGTCGTCTATTGTTGTCGTTACTTTAGGATTCAATGTTTGCTGTATAGTTGTTTGGATTTTTGGTGAGGGGACCGAGCTTTTTCTGGGTGGTAGACCTGAAGCCATCTCGCATTTATCTATTTTGTAGTGTTTAATATTTCTAATTTTAATTTGTAAATTAATACGTTTTGTTAAGTGCAGTTTTTGAAATTTGTTCATCTACTATCAGTTAAGGGCTTGGGTTGTATCTTTATGTATTTTGTTTACTTCTCCTATTTTCTGTTCTTTGTACTCCTCCCTCGTTATTATTATTTTGTATTTTGTTTACTTCTCCTATTCTCTATTTTTTTTTAAATTTATACTTTCCCCTTCTGAACTATTCTGTTCAATCTGCCGGGCTGCTCTTATTTCTAACTATTCTAATCCCTCTTCCTTAACTAAACTTTTTTCACTCTTTATCCTGCTCAATAGCAATAGCAATGGCAAAAACAAACTCAATGGCAATAACAAAACAATAACAAATCATCCAGCGTTTAATCGTCCAATTAGTTCTGTCAGGTTGCCGGTGCTCCTCTTCCGTCTACTGTCTCTCAGACTGCTGACACTCGTTCCTCTCCAGTCTATGCCTGCTCGCCCTTTAATCTTCTGTGTCTCTCCGTCCTGCAGCCTCTTTTATCCTCCGACACTCCGTCGCTGGGTTCATACAACCAGATCAATCAGAAAGGGAGAAGTTAGCTTAATCTTAAATAAATCTTAGATAAGATTTAATTCGCTATCCTTTCTTTTTATTATTATTTTATTTGTAGTTCACGTCCCTCCCCCTCTTCTTCCCGTTTCCCCTTTCTTCCTGCTTCTATCCTACCGTTATGCCCCTTTCGCACGCTTGCGTTCTTATCCGCTTATCAGCCTTGTCAACCTTCCTGTTATTTTAGTCTAGAGAAAAAAATCACACGTTTAACTGTCTCCTTCTCTCCCGTCCTTTTCTCTCCCATAGTGAGAATCCCCTGTCACTTATCTTCTAGTTATTTTCCGGCGTTTGTTTCTGGCCGTGTTGAGTTTTCTGTTACTCTGCCCCCGGCTCGCCCGTCGCTGTGTCTCTTCTGTTTACTTCCGTCCGTCTGCTCTCCCCGTCACTTCCGCTCCGTCTCCGCGTCCCAGCGCTCCTTGGCCAGCCGCGCCCAGTTTACTCTCCTGAAGACCTCTCGCTGCTCGTCTCCTGCTCTCCTGCCGTCCTCCTCTACTTGTTCTCCGAGACCTGAATTCCAGCTATATCAAACAACAAACAGCAAACCGCATTAGCTAAGTTCCAAACGTTCCACTATATTTTCTCTTGTTTACCCCCCTTCCCTTTTTTTTTCTCTTCCCGAGTGCTTTATTTTTTTTCCGAGTAACCGCTTATTCCCAAGGAAGGGGCCAAGTTTAACTCACTCTGCCTACCCTTCTATCTCCCCCTTGCCAAAGTTTCCTAGGTTTATAGAACTGAAAATAGCACTTATCTGCGGTTGTTCTTGTTGGGTTTCTTTGCTAGCCGATGTTCCTGGTTAGCGTTGGCCGCAACGCTCGTCTTTCTCCCCGTCGTTTCCTTCGGGTTCCCCACTGGGCTCCTCTGCTTCGGTGCCACTCCAATTTTTCCACACCTGTTCGCCTCACAGCTATGGTTGAAGAAGCCCCCTGCTTCCCTCCTATTCAGGAAAAGTCTCAGAGAATCTTTGTCCCCCTCTTCAAGAGAGAACAGCCCTGGTTCAGTAGTTTGTGACGGAGCAACTCCACACCCAACTACTCTCGACGAGCTCCGGCGGCCATTTTTGTGTTGAAACAAGTTGAAGCAGCCTCACTCCAACATCTAGTGATGAGTGTCGGTTGCATCCACAGAAGAGGGAGAAAGGGGCTCTTTTACTTATTTCTCCCTCATTGTGGTGGCTCCCCATTCCATGGTGTGTTTTGTTAACAAGACTGATTGTCTAAGCAGATTTCTATGACAAAACAGTTTGGGGAAGGTGGGGAAAGACTTGTTCCACTAACTCATTCCTCAGGCTTCCCCAGTCAGGAGTTATATTTTTAAAAAACTATCTGTGTAATCTGTTGTAAATGTGTATTACTGCTATTTTAATCACTTGTTGAATGGCTGTCTTCTGGCACCTATTAACGTTCACATCTGTCATTTTATTTCTGTCCTTTGGAAGGAGCGTTTCCATCAGTATTTACAAAACGTGTTTTGCAACATTTTGTGCATAAAATGGACAATCTCAGTTGCGTTGCACACTGACAGTTACCAAGGAGGAGAGAGAGAGAGAGTGTGTACGTGTCTGCATTTTGCCCCCCTTTTGACTCTGTTCTTTCCAGGCTCATGAAGAATGGTGCTGGCTTCTCTCTCTCAGCATGATGGCAGCACTGGCTGGGAAGAAAAGCTGCAGCATGTAGAAGGAGGGGGAAGGCTCACCTTCTGGCTCTCTTGCCCTGCTGTCTCTGTCACTAGGAAGTAAAATAAGGGGCGCAGCTGGCTTTCCAAACGTAGCCTTGCCCTTCATCCACGAGCTGTCAGTGGGAAGTGCTTAAAGTTAACCTTTCCCACTCTTTCGACATAAGTGCAAAGCCCACAAAAACAAATACAAGAAGTTCCTGACTTACTGAAATCGGGGAAGCTACGTTGTCTGAGAAAAGCCAATCCTTGTCTACTCCTTCTGTTTACTTCTACATAACCTCTGGGCAATGATGGGCCAAATGGTAGACCTGGACGTAAAGCACTGCCATAGTCACAGCCAGGGTTCCCCCTCAGCTGAGTTAGTGTGAGCTAGCTCACAGTTTTCTAGCCTCCAGCTCACAGATTTTTTTGCCCTAGCTCAGGAAGGATGTCTCTAGAGCAAACTAATTTATGCAGTAGCCAAACTGCGCACTCACAACTTTAACGCCAGTAGCTCACAAAGTAGAATTTTTGCTCACAAGACTCCACAGCTTAGAGGGAGCATGGGTCACAGCTGATGAACAACAGCAACAGGATGGCATTGATTTGCCTTCATTCCCTGTTACATATTGGAGCATAGATTACAAGGTTTAAACGGCTGTACAGGGAGAGTGACATAAATATTCTGCATTGTAAAGAAAAATTGCAATATAATGTTTACATCCTGCAGAAGTTCATTTTCCTAGCACAAATGTCTCTGGAAATGGAAGACTGCTTTTGTTAGCGTTGCTAAGCTCCCTAGATCAGAACGGAAGGAAAGGGGGACCCATCTTGAATGCCAACAGATTTCACCACTGGATGTCACTCTTGCCTCAGATTTTAATTTGTGTAAATTTTGGTGCTAGAAGAAGTTTGTGAAAGGTGGTCAGAATAAATGCAGAAGTATATTTGCCACCGTTCTCTTTTCTAGCTCTGGGCCTGTTCAAACATTCTGCATATATCCAATGTAGGTATAGCTACTTGCCACCATGGCAAATCAAGCAAATTCCCGTGCCAGCCCTGGCAGCCCCAGAGTGCCTTGTGGTCACATGGGTGACTAACAGACAGAAGCATCTCCATTTTGTAAAGGATGAACTTTATCCCCACTGGGCTGTGCATGGAGTAGTAGAGTGGTATTGGGTGAAGGTAAGTGATTAACCTTTTTTCCTTCTGTTTTCTTGATCAGTGTATTTTAAAGATGTATTCCCAAGGGTTTTGCGGATAGCATTTGAAATATATGGATTGTAAAACATTTTACCACCTTTCATTTAGTTTTTTTATATTCTCTTCCAGTACATCCTTATTTCACATATGCCATCTAATGACAAAATATTATTAGGATATATTAATAGAAAATTAATTTGCACTCATAGAATTGATTTCCATTTTCTTTGCATCAGATTACAAGGTCTGGAGAGTTTGTGTTTCCATTGGAGTCTTCTCACAAGAAGCCTTATGAAATTCTTGTATTGGGCAGAATCCAAGGAAGTACAGATATGCCATTAAGGTACACATATGGAATCCATTGATCGCTGTGTTTTATTAATGTATGCATGGTTATATGGCAATCATTAGATATTCTCAACTGAGATTGCAGACAAGTTTCAAAGGAGTAGGCAACAGCCTTTTCTAACAAAATCGTTTCTCAAAGCTTACTGAAGTACACTTTATACTCCAGTCTCTATGAACGGCTTGATTTAAGAAAGAGAGCGAACGCTCCAGTCTTCTCCTTTCAACCTCCTCTGGCCTCTTATGTTAGTGGCCAGCATGCTTCTTGTTTACCGTGGTGCTACTCAGTTATCAAAGACATGGCATGGGTAAGTCTTGTAAGCAGATGCCTTTTAACTCATAGCTAACTATTACTAAATGGGTGGGTAAGATGTCATTGCAGAGCCAAGTTCATCCTATTTCCTTTCCCCTAGCAGAGTTTAATCAATGTATATGGAGGCAGGGTCTTGAATTCAAGGAGCTACGTAGTCTCAGGCAAGGCCAGTGGACTATTCCCCCCCCGCCACCTTTTTTGTTGTTGTTGCTCTGAACAGGTGACTCACAGACAGTGTCACAGGCTGCTTTTGAAAATCTGCTTTTTATTTGAGCAGCTTTTGGGTGGGGGAGCTGCTGTGTGTTTGTATGTCTAAAGCCCCTTGGGCTTTCTAGAAGTAACTTCCACCTGTCACTGAAGATGCTGAGAACTTGTGGCTTACTGAAGATGCATACCTCCTGTATTAGTGGGGAAAATATCTGATTTTGGCATAGACATAGGATCATAATAGCAAAACAAGCAATCTTCTGAGGGCAAAATATAAGCCCATTAATTCTGATACCTACCTAGATCTTCCCTGCACCATGTCATGTTAGCCCCTGAGGGCTATTGGTTGCTGTTGCATGACGGATTTTTGTTGCTACTGAATTAGATATAGACTTGTTCATTCAGGGCATGTAATATTCTACAGCTGAAACTGAGATATTGATTGAGCTATGTTTGTGTTTATCTTCCGTAGTCTTATTCCTTCATTGACTTTTACAGAAGTTTAAGCAGATTTATAAGATGCCCTTTATCTTTCAAGAAATCAAATACACTCAACATGTAGCTATTTTGTTCTCTGAAGCTTACAGTGCTGGATGACAATGAGAGAACTTACTGTTATTATTATGTTTGAGAAAAATGAATCTTTATCAAGGTATTTCAGTTTCCTGTTTGAGCGTCTGTCTTTCTCTCTCTTTCATTATGATTTATATAACAAGATCGGGAGATGAAGCACTTCCAATTCCAGACCATAAATTAATTGTGAGTGTCCCTTCTACTCTTCATTCACATAAGCCTCCTCTTACAGGTATGATCTCAAAACAGCTCTGTAAAGCTCAACATGTGTTAAGTTTGTAATTTTTAAATACCTGTACTGCTACTTTGTAGGCTGAATGTTTTTGTTTCTGTGGAATTTTAAATTTTCGAGCATGGTAAATTACAGGGATAAGAACTTGCTGAAGATCTTCATGTTTTAATTAGGTACCTGGGTGTGGATTTCACTCACTGCATTTCAAGCTGGATAACTTCTGCCAGAGATGCAGTGTACTGGCTCTCTGTTTATACTGTGCAACAGTCATAGCTAATTTCAAAATGAGTTTGACATTGAAGAGATGATTGGCAGATATATTAGTTCAACACGCTTTCTACTGCTGGCGTTTACTGAACTTGAGACACATTTTGTTTGGATTTGGGATTCTTCTGGTCCAATTCAAGATGCTGCTTCCTGCCTAAATGTTTATTACCGTGGAACTCTAGTTCTGGGAAAACAGCATTTGAATGAATCATCTCAACTATGTCAGGCAAGTTCAGTTGAATGAAGGAAGCTGAGCTTTCAGGGTTCTTAGGCTAACTATAAGGTGGGAGAGAGAGAGAGAGAGAGAGCAGCGACTCTTTGTAGGGAGGCCCTGCTTCGCAAGACAAGGGAAGGAGACTCTCTTCCTCTTTCAGCCACAGCAAGTGATAGAGCTTGTGGACCGATCATTGTAACTTGTAAAAAAGTCCATTATAGTTCTAAATATTGATATATACAGCCCCTTCTTTAAGTATGCTCCTAAATAGAGTGCACTTACGCAGATGTATGCTATCAAGACAATGTTTGCAAATGCTGTAAAAAAATTCTGTATTTGCTAACTACCAGTGGTAGCTTCTGCAAAAAAGGGGGGCAGTGTTTGACCTTACCACATAAGCTGAGGTTGCACCGGGCAGGCATTTTTGAATAGCAGTGGTATCTGGCACGGGGTGATGATGTTGATGCGGCTGACCATTGAACAGCTGCATACCTGGTTGGTAGAGTCATGGGGAACACACCGAAATTAGGATGAAAAGCCATGTTCTCATTCCCTTGTTAAATCATTTCCCAGGGCCTGTTTTCAGAATGCCAGCTAGACTATAAAAGGAAAAATCCTTTTGAGAATCAAAAGAAAAGAGGATAAGAAAACAGCTATGTTTCTTGTTATGGATTCTATCTTCATTAAGACTTGGCAAATGCAAACAGTAAATTGGCAACATTTTAGAAAAACGTATATATAAAGCAGAATAGGAAAAACAGTATGTGAATGGATAGCATATTGAAGTCAGTGTCCTATGTTGTCTTATATGAAATGATTTTTGCAGGGGAAATCTCAATTGTGTTTATTTATTACGGTGGACTGAATAAACCATAACTAGGTAAGAAAGATAACAGTTATTGTGGAGGTTTCTGGAAAATGGTAACTGCGTGTTCGGCACCTTCTAACTTCTTCTCCCCTATCCAAAATATCATAATGCCCCAATGTAAATAAAGACGAAGAAGAAGAGTTGGTTTTTATACCCTGCTTTTCTCTACCTTAAGGAGTCTCAGAGCGGCTTACAATCTCCTTTGCTTCCTCTCTTCACAACAGGCACCTTGTGAAGTGGGGGGGCTGAGAGCGTTCAGAGAGAACTGTGATTGGCCCAAGGTCTCCCAGCAGGCTTCATGTAGAAGAGTAGGGAATCAAGCCTGATTGTCAGATTACAGGCACCTTGTGAAGTGGGGGGGCTGAGAGCGTTCAGAGAGAACTGTGACTGGCCCAAGGTCTCCCAGCAGGCTTCATGTAGAAGAGTGGGGAATCAAGCCTGATTCTCAGATTACAGGCACCTTGTGAAGTGGGAAGGCTGAGAGCGTTCAGAGAGAACTGTGACTGGCCCAAGGTCTCCCAGCAGGCTTCATGTAGAAGAGTGGGGAATCAAGCCTGATTCTCAGATTACAGGCCACGGCTCCTAGTGACTACACCACACTGGCTCTCATACGTATACATGTAAAAGATGTGTATAGAATTAGAAAAAGGTATGAGCAAAACAAATGCAACAAATAATCAGGGTTAAAGAGTGCCTCCTGCATATAGAATTGCTTTTTTTCAATCATTTTAAAACATTTTTAAAGGTGTGTGCTCTTTTAAACAGAGTGGGGTGCTGTAGTTGACTAATTCCTTCACTGAGCAAGGGGACTGGAGTAGGTGACCTCTAGGATCCCTTCTAACTCAGTGTCAAGAAACTGGCCTCCTTTAAGAGAGCTTTTCTGCCCAAGTGTTAGTTTTCTTGACTATAGAAGTCATCACCCCCACCTGCCGGCTTGTTATCAGAATTGTTACTTAAGCTGGCAAAAATGATTAACTTGCAGCAGCTGAGAACTGTTATCTAAAGTGGTTGACAGCTTGCAATTTAAAGATCTATCCTGGTAGCAGCCAGTGTTCCCTCTATGCTGAATTAGTGTCAGCTAGCTCAGAGTTTTTTATCCTCTGGCTCACACATTTTTGTCTTAGCTCAGGAAGGATGGCTCTAGAGCAAACTAATTTATGCAGTAGCCAAATTGCTTGCACACAGCTTTAATGCCAGTAGCTCACAAAGTAGAATTTTTGCTCACAAGACTCCACAGCTTAGAGGAAGCATTGGTAAAAGCTTTCTGTTGGCGAAATGGCTTTCCTTTCTGCACTGAGAACTTGAGCCCCACCAGAAAAAAAAAATGTCCCACAAGCCACAAGGTCTTGGCTACGGGCCTGCATAGGATGTGAAGTAATGAGTGGCAGAAGATTTGCAATTGGGAACTCTTCTGCTTTTTTTCTTTCTCCACAATGAGGAACCAAAATGGCATATGTCATTCTTCCATCCTCCCTTTTAGCCTCACAACAGCCCTGTGAGGTACGTTAGGCTGAGTTTGTGTGACTGGCCCAAGGTCACCCAGCAGTCTTCCATGACAGAGTGGGGATTTGAATCTAGTTCTCTCAGATCCTAGTCCAACACTAGCCACTATACCACACTGTTTCTTTGCCATTGAAACTAGCCATGGGAATGAAACAGATCACAGTCAAGGCTTTGAGAAGACAGAGTTTACACTTTCCCTGTACTGTCCTTTGTGACCTTTCCCTCAGCTGGTATTTGCCCTGTATAGGAGAAATATATGGATACTTGGCTGACATTTGCCCTGCAGGGAAAAACAAGTGTCTGTGCTTTTCTTCCACTCGGGGCAAACATTAGATGGGGAGGTGAACTGATTTTAAACTGGTGGAAATGGGACTGCAGACAGGATTAACACAGAGCATGCCATGGTCTTCTATTTCTGCTGCCTGTTCCCTCCCCTTAAAAAAAAAAGCAGGAAATCCTGATCAGCCTTGTCCTGTGTTGTATCTGTTTTGACACTGAATATAACTAGGATACGTGAGTCTTTAGCTTTAAAAGGCATGCTATTTGAAGTGCTAATTAAAAGAAATAGTTTTGTTTTGCCTAAAGGAAAAAACTGAACTTTGCTTACAAGGAGTAAAGAAGCTAGAAAGTACACAAAACTAAACAGAACCAGTAAGAATTAGCATGTATCTTGGGAAGAAATCACCTGGAAAATTTTTGCAGTCATGTGTTTTGGCTAGAAAAACAAGTCTGATTCAGCCATACTGCAGCTATTATGATTTATCTTTTCTTCCAGAACAATTAGAGATTTGCCACTGAGACAGAAATTTGGGTAGAAGAAAGCCATCTCTGGAGGGTCACGTAGGGCAATACAGTCAAATTCAGGGAACTGAACTTCAGACTAAACATAAGAACATAAGAGAAGCCAATGTTGGATCAGGCCAATAGCCCATCCAGTCCAACACTCTGTCACACAGTGGCCAAAAATACCAGGTGCCATCAGGAGGTCCAGCAATGGGGCCAGGACACTAGAAGCCCTCCCACTGTTGACCCCCCCAAACACCAAGAAGACAGAGCATCACTTGGCCCAGAGTCCCTATCTATACCTTGTGGCTAATAGCTAAAGCGTGTTGGTGTATTTTAATATTAAATCCTTGTCATTTGCTGAAGAAGGAAAAATGTGTAAGAGTGGGGAAAAATAGTTCTCTAGATTTGCCAGTAGAGGGAAGTGGTCCCAAGTGCCTCACATATTTTGGAGAGTATGAAAAAGGGCTGGAAGTTGGAATGAAGCACAGGAAATCCTGGTAGCCCACACATATCAATGTTTTGTTTAAGGAACATAGACGTGCTGGCATACCACTATTTATTGATACTGTCTAGCACTTTTTTTGTGTCAGGGTAGTAGGGCAGTGATGTAGCCGCTTAATGACTGATTATAACAGTTTGTTTTTCTGAAAGGAGTGGAGTTTGCAAATTAAAGTAGGCCATCAAAAAGACTCATTTTATTTCCTGCAGTACATTAACCATGAAATCATTATTCGAGGAATTTCTAATAATACATGTTCTTTGATTAATGCTGGAATGACTGATGTCTGCATTTGGATGTATTTTTAAACTATTTTATGCAAATATGGAAAATGAAATTATATCCAGTTCACATTAAAGCAGGGTCCCCCCGCCCTTTCTGGTTCTACTTCTTCTAGAGAAACAAAACAGAAATTCAGCAAGTAAGTAAACAGCATGAGGGGCAATTCTTCACTTGCGTGATTACACTGACTTTTGTAGACGTAATTGGGGAACTTTGCTGATTTTCATTGCTTACTAATGATTCTCTGAGGTAGCCTGTCCTGTTAAGGAGTAGACTTATTGATGACCTAGCCTTTTCATGGCACTGTGGAAATGGCTTAGGCATGCTGGCATTTGCTTAGCCCTTTCCTCTAAGCTAGTTTTGACTCAGCCACTGCTGCATATCATCAGGTGATTTAAGTTGAAACAGCCATACAGTACTATGGAATAGGAAGTTTGGAGCAGAATGCTGCCTGTCCTGTCTCCCACCCCACAATCCTTTTTTAGAGATGTTGTCTCCATCCTTGACTTTGGGTTTACTAAGGCTCTGCCTGTGGAGTTGAGTATGAATCCTGGTCTCTCTTTTTAAATTTTCTTTTTATT